CTTGGCCGACCCGTCGGGCGGCTAGGTCTCGGCTCCGCCGCCGGCGCTTGGCACCGACGAGGGCCGTCGCGCGTAGCGCCCCGGGCTTGGCCCGTGCCGCCGGCGCGACCCTCCAAAAATCCGTCAGCATCTTGCTGGGCACCAGGTCCACCTCGTCCATGAGCCTCGCGTTGATGCGAGCCGGCTTGGCCGGCCCGTCGCGCGGTTCGGCCCCGGCCTCAGCGTCCCAGCGCCGGCGCCGTCTCCGCGTCCGCCTTGGGCGGCCGCGTTTCCAAAAATCCGTCAGCATCTTGCTGGGCACCAGGTTCACCTCGTCCACGGGCACGCGGGGCGCGGCGACCGGAGCCGCGGTGGGCTGCGCCACCGACACGTCCAACCCAGCGTTCCGCACGTCCAGCGCCGCCGCGAACCGCAGCTCACGGCCGCGTCCGTCGTCCCCGCGCGCACCATGCCCTCGGCGCGCGGCAGCCAGTCGATGGGCAGCCGGAACTCGGCGCCCCCCGCACCGAATCGGACGGGGTCTTCGGGCGCTGCGCCCCGAGCGGGGCCCGCAGGCGCGCGGCGCCGAAGCGCACGTCGAAATCGACCGGAGACTCGCCCCGCAGCAGCCCCTCGTTGGCACACCATCGCGTCGCCTCACAGCCAATCAGTCCCACTAGATGGACTCTCGAGATCTCGAAATTTGCGAGACCTCGGGATCGCGAGCGACCTCTCTATTGTATGTAGTGCTCCCCACCAGCTCCTGTAGTTTTTTTTTATGGGGTGGCATCCGCTCTTAATCGCCCTCGCAGCGTGCGCGCACGCGAAGTGGCACGTCATCCACGGCAGCCACACCAGCCACAACGAGCGCCGCGGGCCCGGAAACAACCGGTACCTCACCTACAACGAGACCGAGGGCCTCAACAACCAGCGCATCGCGCTGGAGAACGCGCGCCTCATGGCCATCCTGCTGAACCGGACCCTCGTCGTCCCGGACACGATCCCACCCCACGACGCCGGCGACCCCTTCCCGACGAAGACCTGCCGCGTCTTCACCTGCGACTCGCTGCGCGTGCCGTGGGTGTCGCAGCGCTACTTCGAGGACCACCGGAAGCGGTGGCCCACGCGGATCCGCGACGACGCGGCGCGATGCGGCGACGTGGCCACCTGCGAAGACTTCCTGCTCGATCCGCCGAAAAACGTGGTCGTCGAGGTCCCCGTTGACAAGACCATGTACCACATGAGCCTGAGTTCTCCGAAGCGGTGGGTCCTCTCGAAGATGAAGGACGACCGAGAGCTCAACCCCAACGTGCTGACCGTCAACAGCCGCCTGATCACCCGGGCGAAGATGATCGTGGACAAGCTCGGCGCGGCCTACGACGCGGCGCATCTCCGGACGGGCGACTACTTCGACGCCTTGTATACCGACGAAGTGGCGCGCGGGGCCGTGATTCAACGTCGCTTCGACTTGAGTGTGCCGCCGCGCGCGCTCGTTCCAACAACCTATCCGTGCCTCGAGACCGCTCTGAGAGATAATCACTCGTCCAAAAATGAGCC